ATACTTCTGCGCAATCAATTAAATCATTACGTTTTTCGAACAATTTAAATACTGCTGTACTGTATTGTCTGCCTCCAACATCTGCTTCTGCCTTTCAACACTTGTATCGTGTGTATTATCAAGTTCAAGTGTGGCTAGGCAATGAGCTGGACCCAGAAGGATGGGGTTGGAAATTAACAGATAATTATTTGGAGCCAATTCAAACTCTACTCCCGTCTGCTCCAGAAAAACTGCTTAATACTATTTTTTGTAAATACAAGACGGATTGTAGTAAGAATTGTAGCTGTCAAAAAGTGGGACTACGTATTTTGTTCGACAGTACCTATGCATCAGGGTCAGACTTGCTTCAATATTGAAACAAATACAACAGATGACAATATTTATGATATTAATGAAGAGACAATTGATGCATCCCTTTTCTTAGAACAGCGAACAGAAATTCTGCAAGAAGAAAATGAAGACGAAGAAATAATTGTCGAAGTAGAATTAGACAATTATCTAATATACTAACATTTAGAAGAAAACCACCTATTCCACTTTGATCATTAGCAATATTACTATTTTTTCAATCAATAAGATACGATCTGATCAAACTTTGTTAATGACAATAGATCGTGAAGTATACCTACTGGGGAAACCACGTTAAAAAAAAATGCGCCAAGTACANTGCTCCAATATTGAAACAAATACAACAGATGACAATATTTATGATATTAATGAAGAGACAATTGATGCATCCCTTTTCTTAGAACAGCGAACAGAAATTCTGCAAGAAGAAAATGAAGACGAAGAAATAATTGACGAAGTGGAATTAGACAATTATCTAATATACTAACATTTGGAAGAAAACCACCCATTCCACTTTAATCATTAGCAATATTACCATTTTTTCAATCAATTGTATACGATCTGATCAAATTTTCTTAATGACAATAGATCGTGGAGTATACCTACTAGGGGAAACCGCGTTAAAAAAAATGCGCCAAGTTACCTCATAGGGGGTTCCGAAATGTGTGCATATGTAAAATATGAATTTTCTAATGTTTAAAACCGCAATATCTCACAAATGGTGAGTCGTAAGTGAAAAGGTGACTGGAACATTTTTGTAGAGAATTGTATGATCTACAACTTTTGTCTGACCTATTTTCACGATAAAACTTACCGTTTTCGAGAAAAATAGAAAAAACCTTAATTTTGCACTTTTGACCTTGAATAAAATTTTTTGCAGAAGTACGACCGAAGAGGACTTTTAACATTTTATTTATAATGACGTATTTAACGTCTCTGACAATTTTCAGCTCTATGCGAATTTTGGCTAAGTCAAATGTCTATTTTGACTGGACTATTATTGGGTAGAGAGTATCTGAAGAGTGGTTCCATTTGACTTTTAAGAACATTGGGGAGGGTGGTATTTAATGGAAAGCCGGCTGGAATGAAGACAGGAATCTAATGTGTATGAAGCAGTTTCTTCTATCTTTTACTGTTAATAAATAAGCTTTTGTCTAACACAAAGCAAATAATTGAAATAAATGAAAAAAAGACGACTGTTTTTGTTGCTTATCCATAAAAGTGCCCATTCTTTGTTACGTAAATCAAATGGTCTTCTTGCCCCGCCTCCGGTTAGGTTGAATTTGTGAAGTTTACAAAATTCTGTGACCTCCTCTAAAATTAACAAAATTATTAAGTGTCTTGGTATTTTAATACCTAATACATTGAACTTGAAAACGATTTAAAAAAAAGTTAATATTAGAAACTGTAAAATTAGAAGATATACGGTTTTATCGTTGGTTATTATACATCTTACGGGGTCGTTTAACCGGTATCTCATTTAACGTAAGATAAACGAACTGATTAGCACTTTTTTGTTGGTTTTACATTTTTGGCAACAAGCCAAATAAGTCATTCCATATAAATGATACGAGCGATGGAAATTGCTGGATTTGTTTAAAAATTAGAACTCAACCTGTTCACCTGAAAACCGTGAAAAATGATTTAGTTATAAATCTACAATGACGATCTAAAAACAGAATAGAATTATTTTTAGAATTATTAGAATGAGAGTGCCACTACGTCCGTTTTAATATGTATTTAAATTGAAGATGGTGAAACTTCCATGATGATTTTAAGATTAGAAGTTGAGCAAGCTCAGTACGGTTTTAGGGATCTTTACTGAAACAACCGATAAAATATCCGATTTACCCTACTTAGTACGGTAGAAATTATGTACATATTGTTGTGGTTGTTTGTTTATTTAATATATTTGACACACTCTACTATTACACTTCCACTAATTGGTAAGCACAAGTATTCATATTCCTGCTCATAATTGAAACACATACATTATTAGCCTCTTCCGCTGAAAATTGCTTATGTTTAACGTTAATCATGTTTTTTTGGTGCTAATTGTTGCTACTGTGTTGAAATTATTTCATAGTTTGTGTGTTTGCGTCAACTAAATTGTAATTAAAAATATAGTTTCAAATTAAAAAACTATTTTCAGATGATTAACGCTTAGGGAGAGCATAAATTTTAAAATTTTTATTACGAAGTTGCACATGATGAACATCGAAAAACAATTAACTTACGTTAGGCAGACAGGTCGATCGTTAAAAATTAGAATAGCTGAGCATTTAAAAAGTATTTTAGTAGAAAATGTGTTAATTTAACGATAACTTGAAATAAAAATTGAAAAGCTTAATTGGGTCTGTCTGCAAAGGTCTTTTTAGTTGTATTCCACAAGCATCTTAGATAATATTAAGAAAATGCTGTTTGCATACATCGTACTCCCTTCAAATAAAGTTTTTTTGAGGTGCTAAACAATATACATCTGGTCAGTTTACTCGTGTGTCTATACAGGGATGAGCAAAGAGCAATTATTTATTGATCCTTTCAGTCCTTTACTTTACAGTGGAATTAACTGTGTTTCGAGCGTTATCAATGTTGCAGACTACCTAACAACTGAGCAACTGTTTTAGGTTGCCCACTATCTACAGCGATCTAATGACAAATTATAGGGTTGTTCGGAAAGTCATTTCGTTTTTTTTTGTGGAAATGAAAGACAGTTTTCGTATAATAAACAAATACTTTATTAAATTATATATTGACCGTTCTGGTCCAACACCTTTTGCCATCTTTCTGGTAGTAGCATAATTCCACGCTCATAAAATTTTTGGTCTTTGCTGGCAAAAAACTGANATAAGGAAGAACCGCGTAGTCTACTCATCTGTCCACACAGGGATTTAAAGGAGCGATTATTGATCCTTTCAGCCCTTTATATTGGAATTAATTATATTTTGACCGTCACTCGCTGAGGTTGCTCACTATCTACAGCGATGTAATGACAAATTATGTATTAATCATAAAGATCCCATAATTACTTTAAATAAAATAATATTTTGGTCGAAAGCAAACAACAGAATAACAAATAACGGATTATTAATTGTTTTATTCTTAATTAATCTGTATTACGGTTAATTTGTCAATATCGCACTAATAGACCAGCTAGATAACCACTGTACGTATTTGCAAGTCCGATGTCCAATTTACTAACCCACTTATCTAGATGCGCATTCTGTCTCGTTTCCAGATACAAAACCAGCGGAGGAGAAGCAACACGCTATTTGTCGAATAACATCGGATCTTGTAAATGCAACAGCAAATGCCACTTTGACTAGGAAATTGGAAGGTGTTTGTACATCAGGTAAAACGTGTTGGCGAGCTTCTGTTCTTTATTTAACTGCCTTTAGCTCATAAGTAACAAGCGAGTACCTAAATTACATAAACGTTTTAACTAAATATTCGGGTTAATTCATTTAGGTGTTGCGATTACTTTATGGAGAAAAGGTAACCATTGGGTATAAGTACTGTTGATTTTAAAAGGACAAATGTCTCTGTATACTTTATTTACTTTCTGTAGCGATGTGACCTTCAGTTTGACCGGCGCAAAGTAGAAAAGAACAGCATTAGGCCAGAAAAGGAAGGAGACAACTCTCAGCCAAACTCTTAACCGGTGAGGAGCGTATAATCCGTACAGTACTGCACAGAAAAATTGACCATTTTATCCACTACAATTGCATTACTCAAATGCGCTGTTATTGGTACCATTACTGAAAATATTAACGAGATGTTTATTTATATTTGAAGAAATATTAAAGGCTTTAACGCTTGTTTTCGACTTGCACTACTATTCATGATTGAACAAAACTTTTGCCAGGTACTGTATGAAAAAGTTTGTTTAATGAACAAGCGTCGAGAGTATAATGAGCTTTTTTCTCCCTACCTACGATTTTGCCAGCGCGCATCCAAAACATTGGAAAGGGCACATCGCTACAGAAAGTAAATGAAGTATACGTTGTGGTTTAAGGCTATAAGGTAGAGTCCGTTCACTTAGAGAAAAGTACACGACGGCAGATCGATGTGCGCGGGCTACCTTAGTGGGCGTAACTATTAGCTCCACAGGCTTACGATTGGGTTTTGATCGGAAACATCTGACGGTAAGCAAACGGTCATATTCGTTTGTGCGAATAACCGACGCTGTACCTTTCTGTAAGTGAGCACAACATCTATGCTTAATAAAACTGAAAAATTGAACATACTGTAGAGGGTCTTGCATCGAAATTTGTCGACAAAACTGTAGTGACCTAGAGTTTCGACTCGTCCTGTATATTGTTTTTGAAAAGCTCGAAGATGTATTCAAAGACTGAGCAAAATAAAGGATGTAATGGAATTTGTTTAAACTTGTCATAGACCACAACAACTTTATTTTTTATTGGTCAAAAAAAAGGTACTTAACTCAAAAATGAAACAATATACAGAGTATTTCAATTAAAAATTGACAAGTTTAATTAGGATTTCTTTTTGACTCTACTTTATGAACATCCATAGTAAATGAAAAATAAAAATATCAAACATCAATTTCCAGTGAAATAATTTATTAATTAAATGTGGTACTCCTCTTAAAGGAAAGTTTGTTTCATCAAAACCTCTTCCATTTTCCTATATATCTAGAAATGATTTGATTTGTATTTCCTGTAACTTTTGTTTTGAACCCTAAATATTGTAGATATTTGAGCGCAAAGTTGAACCATATTGTAGATATTAGCAATTAAATGTAGCGTTAAAATGAATTTTTAGATGAGCTTCACATAAAACTGAATGCCCTCGAAGAAAACTTAACACGACTGATAACAAATCTCCAAACTGCTCTGTATGGAGATGGTGCTTCATACGAGAAAATGCATAAAAATCTCTATCCAAAAAGAGAATCTAGAGACTACGAGTACTACATTTACAATGCTCTAAATCCCATGTCACTAGATCGCCGTGTTCAAGGATCACAAACGAATTTATATCGTGAAGGAAGTTCGTTAGGTGTCCGTAATTTTGACAGTCAGGACAAGGACGTGAGAGAACTGGAAGCATCAAAGTTTAATTTGACATTTCAAGACAGTAATATGGGATTGTCGTTCGTCTACTTCTGGAGAATAGATGGAATTAATGAAACGCTCAATAGCTATGAAAACGTCATCTTTAGTAGTTCATTTCACCTTTACGGTAGGTTTAAATAAGACCATAATACTTTTCATATTAAACCGAAAACATTACGGCTACAATGTTTCATTCATTCGTTCTTTTCTTGTTGAATATTTGCACAGGTACAACAAAACTGTAAAAGTTAATACGTAATAAAAAATAATAGAGATGCATACATTAAATTGAATCAAAATTCGGAAGATAAGAAAACAAGTACCTGGTAGCGTAAATGTTCATCAATTTATTTTGAAATGAGTTGACAACTGCTTGTGAAACATTCTTTGAATAAGCTTAACGACATAAAATACTTTTTAATGCTACAAATGTCAAAAAATGTTGACTTTCCCAAGAAGTTTGCAAAATAATGAAAACAATACAATTTAATACAATTTCTGGGGCAATGCCCTTTGAGGCCAAGACTAAGACCGAATGAACAAGTGTAAGACCACAGCCGTCTTTAATACAAGCCATGCTGATAAATTTGGCAACAGCGCATTGCTTCGATGTGAGAGTCCTATTCTGCGAGTCTTAGTTGTTATTACTACACGTCGTTACACATGATTTTTAGACACCCATTACGATAAAAATGAATTAAATTATTCAATAACTAACATTTGTTTATCACTGATAGTATGTGGCGTTATTTAAAATACACTTCAACATGTAAGTATTGAGAATAAAATAGAAAAGACAATAGATTAGGTAAGCATTGATAGGTACCTACATGAATTTCATCTCGATAATTGTAATTTTATTAAGGCAAATTTCCACACCACTACTGAGGTATTGCCAAGGCGCGTTACCCTTTTTTTGGGGTTCGCCAATAGCCCTGCCATCCCATTAAAACTTATCAATCAACTTATCTAATTTACGGATTTTTGCTGGCTTACAGTTAGCTGAATTTAAATCGAAGTGGCGGGACTGTTGCTTTCTATAATTTATAATTTTAACGTAATCATTAAGCAAAACATTAGCAAAAGAAGATACAATGTGGAAGAGTATATCTTTATAATGTTTTCCACAACTACATATTATTGAAAACAGTTAATTTTCCTAAAATTAATTTTTGATGTTCAGCCCGTAAACATTATGTCTGCAGATTTTCGTTATTACTTATTTCTTCAAGAATGGCATAAATGTGAAAAAAAAACTATACTAATATTATCAGTAGGAACAGAAAGTCCTCCCCTTTGTAAATAATAAAATAAATATCTCCAACGCAAGAGCCTTTTTTGTTTATTATGAGTGAAACACAAATGTTGCAAGTTATATTTTTACGAACAGAATAAACTGCATATCCTGAAATGTAAATTTTTAAGGAGTTATTTAAATCACAATTCATTCAAATAAACGGAATTTAAAATTTCAATAAACTGACTTAGTTTAAGGGAGAATTTTCAATAATTTAAATTTCTTTTTCTTATTCTCTGGTAATTTACGATATGTTAAAAGCACATTCAAAACATTACCAGGAGTGGATACTTTTTTTACTGTTTTTATAATGTCACTTTTATTAAAGTGATGTATGTAAACTGCAGAATGTTTTCATTGCATTTTTTTCGCATTTCATTTTTTTTGGGAATAAAAATATAGACATACTTACATTTTAAATACGATTTATAATTTGAATTGCTACTGGGAACACAACAACAACGAGGCATTTTGTTAAGAAAAAAACAAGAAAATTTACAACTAAAACACACAATCTGACCTAAAACATTTCACTTCTTTCACTTAATAGTTAATATTACCTTCTGCAATTAAAAACTGTATCCAAAGGTATTAATCACTAAAACACACTATAAGCATCCTTACTGCACATTTTTGCACGATATTTCCGCTAAAATTAAAATATTATAGAACAACGAAAAAAACACAACAACCAATGTATTAGTTGTAACTCTCATTAACTGGGAAATCCTGGGACTCCCACAGTGTTGCCAAGTAAACCTTCAGCATGGCTTGTAAGTAGAGACGGCTGTGGTAAGACTAAAGCCAAGATCGAACGAATAAGACCAAGACTAAAACCAAAACTGCATATGAAAATCCGAGACCAAATTCGCTAATAGGTCAATTTATGCTTTGGAGGAAGGTAAGTTTTTCAGTTTTCGTAACAATCACAAATATTGTCACTATTTTCCTTAAAAGTCATGACAAAAAAGACAGAAAATTTCAGCTTTAAGACAATTATTGTGTCAGTAAATAAAAAAACTTGTGCTTATAAGGATTATTAAAGAAAACGTAAATATCAAATTGAATGAGCATGACCAAGACGTAACAAGCAAGACCAAGACTTGAAATATTTGAGCGAGACCAAGACCAAGATCAAATAAGCAAGAGCAAGACCAATACCAAGAACGGGATATTATTGGTCTTGCTTTGTTTATCGCTACTGTGGAGTATTCCATGTTAGTCAAAATAGCAGGAGCATTATAAATAGAATTACTTAACATCAGCTTTAAATTCGCAATAAAAAATACACTGGTATTAACTTATTGAGGTTTTTCTTTTCGACTATTACCTTTTAAGACATGTTTCACATTCTTGCTTGTAATGTACAAACTTGTATCTGTTTGTTCACTTACGTATACCTAACAATTGAATTATAACATACATGAAACCACGCACTTTTGTATTGTTTTTCTTGAGTATTTTATAAACCTATTGATTATAGCAATCTTTTATTAGATACTTAATTGAAGAGTATTATGAATAGGTAAATTTTTCAGTTGATTCTACTACGTTTACTTGATATAAATGTCGTATCTTCATTTAATTTATGTTTTATTAGTTAATATTTTTAGGTCATGAGTTGTTTATAAAACTCTTTCCAAACCATTTCGGGACAAAGTACATTGCGTTCGAATTGGTTCAAAGCATTCCTCGGAAACACCGTTTCTCTATATTAAATTTTAAGAATTACCAAAAAGATTTGTCATCACAAATCCTGTTGGACAGGCACAACTATGCAACAACATACAGAGTGTCTCACAAGAAAATACTCAATGGAGATTATATAAAAAATGGCAGCCTGTTTGTTAAGCTTACAATTTTTATAGATTATTAATAATATATAGAATAAATAAAGTAGGCTTTCACGGTCGGCGTCTTTAGTACTATTATTATTATTATTCGGACTTTCTCGCTGTTGTCTACAGAAATTATTTCCTGACGTTTCGTCTACAACTGCGACAGGCATTTTCAAGGCCAGTACGTTGTTCTTCTTGGTTGCCTTGAGTGTCGCGTTGCGTTGTGTTGCGTCGCCTCGCATTGCGTTGCGTTGCGTTGTGCTGTGTTGTACCAACTTCTGCCCTTGAAAATGTCTGCCGCTGTTGAAATTTTCCAGATATGCTGGTATTTTAAACCTATTTTATTTGTATGCTTTTAAGAAGAAGTTGAAGTACAGTTAAGATTTACGTTATTTTTATTTTTAAAATATGTTACTGTGAATATTTTGTTTTACCTAATAGGTTTTCATAATTACTACTAAAATTTAGTCATTTTTTTTGGCTGAAAGTTTGATAATTATTTTATAATTCTGTGGATTACATAATTTATAACTGTATTATTAATAAATATTTAATTATTATACATGATGTCCCAGGGAATAGTTTTAAAAAGAAGCAGAATTTTAGTCTCTTGAGGAGACAGTGGTTCAAGGATTTTGAAGGGCACAATGATTAGGATTTATTTTTCAATTCTTTTTTTTTGCACTACATTATTTAGGCCTACATATTTTATGTAAACGTTAAGACATTTGTCACTTAACTGTGAAAAATAAAGTAGATAGAAAATAAAAGGATAAAAAAAATATTTGCAGAAAAGAAATCTCACCCGAGTAAAAATAATGTCTTCAAATTTAAAATACGTGGATTGTCTCATCGGCTGTTTGAAACTTGTAATAAAACATGAGAAGTTTGACCTCATATATCCATCGTTTAATATATACATACATAAATAGAACTTCGTAAATAAATTTCATGTGCAACATCTTGTGCAAATAGTTTACCTTCACGTAAACCATAAATAAATAGTAATTAATTGCGAAATTGTAATGCAGTCTTTCTTTAAGAGACTTCAGTAAGTAGTACCTAAGTACATTGTCGGTCGGTGCAACGTACAGTGTGACAGTTGTGTGGTGTTACACACTACACAATGGCAATTTTAGGCGAAGATAAATGAAGACATTAGTAAAATGTATGTTAACATTTCGAAAATAGTCTAAGTATCTACAATGAAGGATTGTGTATTTTGCAAAGTCTTTTGTTGTCATCGGTAGGTCTACCTGTGAGAACCCGTTGTTTAAACACTTACTCAGCTCTAATTCTCATAAAAGAACAACGGAAAAACTTACAAAACCGACATTTATTAGGAGGGTAATTGAAAACAACTAACAAATTACAAGGTCTCCTATTTAAATGAATCTTTATCTGTCCCTATCTGGTACACACTATTACTCGGTATGCTTTTTTGTGGTAAAGAACGTTGTGTTTATCAGAGTTTTCTTCCGATAGGATTTCGTTTCCAAACGAAGCGAAGCGCAAACCTTTGCAATGCTAGAAATGCTAAGATTTTGCCATAAGTTGTTCTTAAAGCTGAGTTTCATCAAAATAGCTAAGAACTATTCCGGAAATAACTCTCAAATAAATATATCATCATCATCATAAGGTCGTCAGTCCTAAGACTGGTTGGACACGCACCTCCACTGCTTCCTATCCTGAACTAATCTTCGCATTTTCCTAAAACTAGTACATCCCACATCCTTAACTATTTGCGAACATTAATCTAATCTAGGCCTACATCTACCCCTCCTAACTCCTGTTTCTGCCTGTAATATGTCGCTGACTAGACCTTCATACCTGAGAAGGTGCCCTACTAACCTCTCGCCTATTTTTCATTAACATCTATGGAGTCCTCTGTTCTCTTATTCATTCTTAATAAATATATGCGTTTTATTTAATTAAATATGTAAACTTTTTAATTATAAGGGAACATATTATAATAATGCCCTGTCGTTATATTTCACGATACTATTAGCAAAATTTCGCATTTTCTGTCAAGAAAGCTTCATTTCATTTTAGTGTCAAAATTTACCTGCATTCCTTTCACGAATAACAATATGCATTCTTTTTATTTTTTTTAACTCATATTGTATATTCATACTTAACTTAAGACTCAACTGGTCGTTAATACCTTTGGAGGATTTAGAAATCACGATCATGTTTTCGCAAATCTGAGATATTTTGCAATTTGCACTCTTTACTGTGCCCTACAGGCATACCAAACTATACCGGAGAATAAGGCGGAAGGCCTCCATTTAGGAATCGCGGGAATGACATGGTGGTCGAGGAGAGACATATGAAAAGTGACAAATTATCTTTTCAATATTATTAATGCTCTAGCATATACCTAAGTGGTCCAAGGAAGCGTCAGATAAACTTGGACCAGGGCAGACTGACGCGGAATCGAATTGGTCCTCTGGAATGGTCTAAACCTCTAGGTCATGTCGATCGGCACGCTCAAACTCAATCTCAATCAACTGTTCTATTAGTGAGAGTTCATTTTTGTGATGACTTGTCATTAGAGGACCTCCCGTTTCCCACTGTGACACAGGAAAGGTCCCCAAGGTATTGTCAAGTAGATAGATTTAGTGCGGGAATAATAAATTGTATCGCTAGAAAGATGAAATGTATTCGAACTTTATGAACAATCTGGTGGATCTGGATAAGGACTATATTTCTTCCAAAGGATTGGGAGACAGTCTGTGGATACACAAATTGTATCCGAATACTGCATCGGACAACTACCCAGCTCTGTCTATAGGTTTTTCTGTATTTGGTTTTGTTTATAATTACGTAATTCAATTAAGAATGACCTAATTTTTATTACCAACATTCTACACATAAGAAAAATTTTCAGCTGCTTGCATGTTACTTAATGGAGATGATTTATTTGAAGAGTATTGTTTACTGTACTTACCTCCTTCTTTTCCAGTTGAACATGGTAGATGAATCTCGCAATTACTTTATATACCTTTCCATGTTATTTTCGCATAATGAATCTTGTCGTGTACCATGTGTATAGGTTTATGCGGAAGATGAGGAAAGACGTTGGAAATTAACGTGAACAGGTACATTTCCGTGACATGCAGGACATTTTTCATTCTTAGAAAAGTAAAAGTTTATTTACTTACTCACTAATTAGCTGAATTAAATGCACAGTTGATGTCTTTGTTAACAGGAATATTGTCATGCTTTCTTACTCTACAACATATTCGTTAGATTCTTCGTTTAGCTTTAATTAATGATTAATCTACTCCTGAAGAAAGTGAAGTACCAAAATAAGTATTGAGGAATAATGGATACTTTTTGTATCTGAGATGTGTGTGCTTTTATTAATTACGTCGAATTACATGAGCTAAAAGCTTTATCTTTTCGATTTTCAATAATCCTTAGTTAAGCGCCACCCCTAAGACGTGTAATTCTAAAATTAGAAATGAGGATATACAATTTTAGAGCGATTAAAGTGGTGTTTATAGTACGGGGTGGGGTTTGAGGGAGCCCACAACAATGAATCTAATATTAGCTAAAAGTTGCCGTTTTCGAAAAAGTACCTATAAAGTACATATACGTATTCACTGTTTTGATTGATAGGCATATGACATTTTCTAATACGTTCTGAATGAACGTTTTGACTTACTACTGTTGGGGGGTGGGTTATGGAAATGGGATCTATCTACCAATTCCATAATAATCTAACCTACTATGCTTTTGTGATACGACGTTTTGTAGGATGATCAGCCTGAGCCGAATGTACTGAAAATCATTTGTTTATAATGTTTTCAAATGAGTCAGAACAGACACAATTCCAGTTTAGAGATCTATGTAAGATTAGCAAATGGGCAGAGTGGGCCACATCGTTGTGGGTATATTTTAAGTGCCAAATATCCTAGGACTCCTTGGGTTAAAATGACAAAGTATGAGAATATAATTATGCTCCTAGAGTGAAAGATTTTGACAAAGCAGTAGATATATTTGAATTATAAAATAAAAACGCCGCTTAATTTTGAACTAGAACTTTCAATTCATGGGTCTTATCTACTGAATTTTTTAATCGTTGTGTTTTGGGCTCAAGTGTTACGATTCTAACTACAATTCTGATTAAAGGAGATCTTATAGTTGTAATACTTTGGTGTTAAGGGTAGGTACAATTGCCACTTGTTTGTAAGTCTCCATTTTTATTAACATCTCAATAACCATGAATAAACACATAATCAATGAATGAAACATTGGTTTATTGAAAATACAACGAATGAATTCTGTATCAAGGAGAAGAAATGTAAATAATTCTTTTAACTTCTAGTTGGATTATCTATGAGTCAACCTACTGAACTATATCCAATCAATAGTTGACAAAATCACTAAACTTGTAAAGTGTATTTGAAGAATAAAGACATTGTCATTCTTATGAGTGGTAAGAAAACGACTCAATTTAATTCGTAGGTACTTTTAAATTAATAGTACCGTCATTTTTTCATTTTACCCTTATTTAGTTATTCGCGTATATTTATAAATAACCGCAATTTAGTTCGTTGACGTTAGTGGAATTAAAATGACGAAAACGCTCAGCAACGTCGACAGCGAATAGTTAGTCTTGAAGGAAAACAATAGTAACAATGAAATTGTGGGAACTAGCTCCATCAAATCGTGTAAAGTATTTTCATATGTTTCACTCACTTTCACTACTACGTCTTTTTTACGTTCGTTTAAATAATAGCCTTATGTCTTTTTATCTATGTGTAATACTGTGCATGAGTGTATTAAGCAGTTTGCAGTGGTGGTACATAGTTTTGCGGAAGCTTGGCACGTGTGGGGTTTTCAAGGTCACTTTTGGACACCTCCCTTTAGCTTCCAGCACCTCCTGAAGACCATCGCCGGTAGCTATATAGGATACCGCGAATTTCAACGGTTTCTTAGTGTTTCTTGTGTTTGTGTGGTTATGGTGCCTTAGCGGAAAGATGGATATTGTCATAAGAAAGGTGAGGACCATGTAGTGTAATCAGGTTCAGTTTTTATGTTATTAAAAAATAATAAAAATATACGTAAGGGGCTAAAGGTTATTTATTTATTTATTTATTTATTTATAAAACCAACGATAGCCAACGTTTCGCCTAAATGGTCGATTTTCGCAAAGCAGATGCAATAGTTCTGAACCATGAAAAAGACCAACAACTAGAACGAAAAGTTGGCGGTTGTTTCCTAAAAACTAAAACTTTTAACCCCCTTTTGGCTTTGATTTACGTACTAACTTTCGATATATGTATAAATCACGCTTATTCTAGATTTCAAATCTTATTTGTTAAAAGCAATTTCTGTTCCAACGTTCCATTGGTATAATGAGCCATCACCGTGCATTTTAGTTGATTTCAGCAAGTTGCAAATGTGCAATTTGTTAAGCTATATTATTAATCTGCTGTTTACATTTTGGGACGCAGTAAATTGAATACTCTCGGAAATAACTTTGCCCCAATAGTGTAGTAGGAATATCCAGAAGTATGAATTTCGGTTTCTGTTATAATTAGCAGAAGCAATCCGATTTAATCGTGGTTGACAAGTCATTTCCTCTCAGGAATGAGTTTCGCGCTGGGAATCTATTTAATTACAAGTTTGGGCAAATTAGGACACTTAATTCAATTGAAACGTCTCGCTAATACAATTCAAAAACAACTTGTTATGACCGCCGTCGCGCCGCCAATATCTGTTAATCACATAGAATATCCAATTAATAAATCGTTTAGTTTTTTACTACAGCTTCGACTGGTTTTGAGTTAGTCAAACAATATTACTACATTTTATTGATGTTTGAATTACATTTTGGGCACCCTCCACAGACTACTTGAAAGATGTCTATCAACTTATAGCTCCTTACATTTACATGTATCTATCAGTATGTAATTCTTCATTGAGGCTGAAATTTTAAATGTAGCTAACCTGGAGATTTTTAAGTGACTAGAATTTATAGGGGACCATGTTTCATGTAGTGTAACTTTTATATAAAGGGTCATTTATGGGGTAGTAATGATGCAATTTGATGTAAGCCGTTGTAGGATATTCTCATCAGGGTCACACAAGGCGTGCGGATAGCCACGTTGGGATTTTAGCTGCACGTTCCCTCCAAAAATCTAGCTGAGATTTTTACAATTTTATGCCACCAATTTTAGAGTTCTTATGTTTTTACTTAATAAAATTTTCTGTTTCCATTTCTTTTTGTTGGAATTACATTTAGCTACTTAAGGTCCAACTAACTTCTAAACAAAATAAAACAGAAATTCATGATTCATATTTAATGCAATAAAGAATTTTATTTGAGATGGTCGCCACTTATGCAGAGAGGGGTTAAAAGGTTTATTTCAATTCTACTTTGCGATGTGAATGAGTTTTACAAGCATATCATTATCATCGTCATAAGGTCGTCAGTTTGAAGACTGATTGAACACGCACCTCTCCACACCTTCACAATTTTGAAGCAATGTTTGCATTTCTCAAGTACTAGTCCAATCTTTGACTTCCTCTACCTCTCTTTACTCCTGTTTCTGGGTCTAGTATGTTTCTAACTAGCCTTTCGTGCTTGAAAAGGTGTTCTCTCATCGTACCTGTTCCTTTATTTATTGAATTCCTTAACGCCCTTTGTTTTCCTACTCTTTCGAATATCTCGTCATTCCTAACTTTTTTATCCACGGACTTTTCAAAATCCGCTTATAACACCGCTTCCAAAATGCTTCTAATTTTTTTTTTTCGACACGCCCAATATCTGAAATTACAGAGCCATGTTCCAAACATACACTTTTTCGAACGAAATGCGTCTGAAAAGATAAATACAAATCAACCCAAAAAGCATTCGATGATTTCCAAGTCCTTTTTTAAAACCGGTTGGATCAAAAATCGTTTCAAAATTTATAAATAAACAAACAATGAGCAGGTTATGCTAAATTTCATGCGTGTTCACTATGTGCGTCTATTATAATTTACTTCGTAATTATTTTGGGTAAAAGTGTCCACCCAATTTAACACTATTTGAACGCGTTAAGAAAGAGACCAGTTTTGTTTTAATTGCATCAAAGCACCAGCAATTATTGTAGTTCCACTGCAATTCATATGAACAATGTTTGTATCTTTCATGCTTCTTTGCGCCTTGTTGCGTTGTACTTTTTTCAGATTTTACAGAAAAGCAAAAAAGTTATGATAGAAATCGGTGAGTTTATATCTAGAAAATGTTATTTAGGAACAGAATTTTTAATCAGAGTACTTATAAAATGCTTCTAAACGAAATAAATAATACATATCTGATTTTTAAATTACCGTGAAGTTTACCTTTAATTAAATAAAACTGATTGATGTAAGAGATAAGAATTTTTTATCAAAGTGACAATTTTTGGTGATAACAGTAAACGTTCTTACAGAAACAATGGTTTATCAGCATTATGATATTTTATTGGAGCGTAAGTGTAGTCTTTACTAAAGAAAAATCACAATCAGATAAAGATCTTACTGAGGCAGAGTCAAGTCGGAGCAAGTTAGAAATAGTAAAACAAATTAAAAAAATCAATGACGATGGCTCTTATACGATAGGCTACGAAGCGGACGATGGTTCCTTTAAAATAGAGAGTAGAGACGTGCTCGGAAATATCAAAGGGACCTACGGCTTCGTTGACGAAAATGGTGAAATTAAAAGAGTCACTTACAGCACCAAAAACGAATCTGACACTAAATACACAGCGCCGACAGTTGTTCAACGGATTCCTAAAACTAATCGAACATACGTATCATTATTAAGGAAGCAAGAGAAGCAGCAACCAGTCACAACAACTCCTTCGGTTATCCAAAGCATACCACGAAGAAGATTTGTCTTTCCTACACAAAGTTCTACCACATCCCCGAAACCAACGACATCATCAACAAAAGAAGTGAACGTTGTATACGCTCATTCAATTAGTAAAGATCAGGAGCTGAAACTTGAAAGACAGCTTTCTAAACCAGCTGTAGAAGAGATCCCATCTACAGAAACTACACTCCAAAAGCACACTTTAGAAACATCTTTAAGTGAAGCCGATTCCACAATAAAACCGGTTACTGAAGAACCGGAAATACACGGAAATAGCCTGAGGAGGCAGCTGTTTCAGGATAGGAGACCCGAATTCGATACCAGACAGTTGACGATACAACAAAGCACGGATCTGTCCGACATCTACACCGGGTCAAAAACCACTGGAACTCCACGACCTCCTTTGTTTACCACTACAGCAAGATCTAGATCGATTCCCATTCTATCAACTACCGCACGAGCACTGAATGCTACCCCATTTGTAATTAAGCATGCTCAAACTACATCTTCAACCAGGAATCAGTTTGTCATACCAGAGTATCCTCAGGAGCAAACCACCACGGAATCTATAAGCAGTAACGAAGAATTTAGAACACAGGTCCCTGTCCAAGGACTTCCAACACCTCCCTATCTTCAATCCCATCAAAGGTTAGCAGCCATTCAGCATCCTTCTAATGGCGAGCTTATATTAGTACCTGCTGGTCATCCACTTTTATCCCAATATACCAATAATAATAACAGACCAAGTGGGTTCATCAGTTCTAATGAAGAACGCAGTGATACTCAAAACCATTACCAGACGCAATTAAGAAACGGACAAAACGTTCAGGTGTTTCAACCATCACCACTCATAAGGGCAATTCCAATTGATGATAACAGAATTACATCTGAACCCAATGTAATCTACGGTACATTGATTCCTGTAAACCACCGAGCCCCGCCATTGCGCGTTACTCATACTGAACACGAGCTTCAGATGCAAATAGATGAAATAGAACCTCCAGTTAGCGTTAATGATTTCCAAAAGATTTTGGATCAGTTAACTATACGTCAGAGGAAATTGGAAATGGTTAATTCATTGGTAAGTTCTCATATTCAGGATCCACTGACGCGAAGCTCGATGATCCTTATTCCACAGAGAGTTCCATTCCAGCCTATTCCTTATAGGCAACGGGAATATAATCCAAATATTCCTATCAGAACAGATCAGGCTTATTCACAAAGCAAAAGGATGGTCGTTGATAGAGATGGAAGCGAAGAAAAATTTCTTCCACCTTTGGTTAGAGAAATGCTGTTGCTTAAAATGTTGAAACTGGCTATTAATCCCTATTTGCCTCTGGAGGCAGACACTGAGGCACAATATAGTGCAACATCCAACCCGACGATTATAAAAACTGGGGGTCAAAGAAATGTAGAGATTCTGGGAGAGGAAGTTGACGAAACAGATGACTCAAGAACATACAGAAGAAGCAGCCGATCTGTCCTTAATTGATATCAATTTGAATACCAAAGAAGCATTTCCAAATTAATATAGACAGCTCAGAATGTTTTCATGGTACCTATTAGATCTACAACATTTGAAAAAGCACAAGTTTAAAAACATATATGCAGATAAATAAAAAGGTAAACGAAAATCGAAAGAGGATGTTTATAATTTTTTTATAATACTAAAATAAAAATAGAATAACAGCTGGCCTCAGAGCTAGCACACTTTTGTAAATATTAAAACCCTACAAATATTAATTGTTGAAATCAAATTTTGTTTTTAATTTAAATGAAACGTATGTTAATGTTATTTTGTATTTAAAATAAATAAATCTTTTGCTATATGATAATTATTGTAATTATATTGAATGTCATTGTCATGGTGAATATGATTATCTATAAATTGTTTGAGTTTGTGCAGTTGTCCTTAAGAATTATTATTTTTATACGGTTGGTATTGCTTTTGATGATGGTCATTTGTTAAATGGATTAATATCATTCGATGTTTCTTTAACATTATAAAAATTAAAATAAACGTTTGTTCGATGAATTGTACTGATTGGGGATGCTTCTGAAGATGTGGATCATTCCCGTTGGCGAATCGACGAACATATTTTATAAGATGATTCGTCTCGATAGACTTAAGTCAGTGTATAGCTCAAAAATCTCCGTGTAATTGCATTTTTTTTCGTTTGGTATCAGGATCTTTCTAAATATTGATCAACTTATTTACATACACAAAATCTGTAAAGAACTAAATTCTATTTTCTACATATGTAGTCAAATATGTATTAAATCAAACCTAATTCGTACAATTCTCTCACAGTTAATCGAATATACTTTGATCTAAAACATTTGCATAAGTTCATTCTCATAAAGTGGCTATTTTAAAAACGATTTCTTCAAAACAATTCTTGTACATTTTCTAACGTTTTTTATTAACAAAAGCCTTTCCTTATACAGAATGTTCATTGTTAATAACTCTAATAGCATTAGCACACAATAATTCCATTGTTGCTTGTGGGATAATATTCAACGAAAAAATATTAATTTTCATTTTGTGCAACTTTAAATCCCTGAAACGGGTTTCGTAACACAGCGGTTGCCAAATAATTAACTGGAGGGTCTTTTATATGAATTCACATGCAGTTTCTGATTCCCTTGGTCATACATACATGTTTGTAATAAAGCTATTATTGAAACAGGCAAGTATTTCCCACGTTAGGAAATTTTAAAGTGGAACATTATTCGTACATGTATATTCATCTTTGACAGTGTTGCAATTTCTCTGACCGCTATATGTGAGCATATAATGCATAATTACTGTTATTGCCACTGTTTCGTACGTTCAAATGATGTAAAATATTATTACACTACCTTACGTTTAATTAATGCGTTTTATTATAGATGGCAATTAAACGTTACAATAGCATCATTAAAAGTACTGACAATGACAGTTGTTGTGCCAATACATTTATAAATAATTTAGCTATTAAAATTGTTGAAGACGTGCTTCTTAATTAGGTTGCGACAATTTTTTAGCTAAATATTAATAGATGATTATATACTGACAGTTATAGGCGATCGCTATTATAGAAAAGGTTATAAAAGGGAAGGAATTAGAAATAGTAGGAGACAAATGAGGGAATCCTGGACATCGTACAATCGCTTGGATTATAATTTTTCTTCATCCGTATGAAGAACTCCTAGACCGTTCAACCAACGTACATTTTCAACAATGAAATTATTTTTGCTTGCGTGAAATCGGTCGTCCGTTGAATTCAAGGATAACGATGGTGACCGTCGGTGATGTGCCGTGTTGGGCAACTGTGCGTGCTTCTATTTTGCACCTAGTCATCACGTGGATTTATTCCTTATTTCTTTCCATGTTTCGGTTGTTTTCGTTGACAAGATCCATGACTTGACTTGCCGGTCTAATGTACGGTATCCTTTAGGAATATGGAATCGTGGATGTTCCAATTTTCTGGGAATGCAAAGATTGGTTCGGAACATGAAGGAATGGAGGTAGGATTGGCGACTATGTAAAGATTGATAATGACATTTACATGACATTAATAATCAGTTATGTATAAAGCAACTTATGTTTGATCGGTGATTTGTCGAAATCACCAATGGTGTTGACGTGAACCAATAAATTCGAAATCGCAATCCATATTTGGTAAATTGTTGATCGCAGACCAATAACTCGATGTTCATTATTTAATTAGTTAGCGTGCATATGACGTATATAATGCAACGCTCCCGAGCGTGAATTTTTTTGATAAGCCTCCGCAATCTCATTACCGTTCATCATAAAGAAAAGCGCTCAACGATTTTTTATAAGAAAGAAAAACATCAAGCATAAAATTCTCCGGCCCTTACGCGTTCGGATCTTTTGAATTGGGCCTTGGGCCTTCTGCCCAGCGCTTCGTTCTCCACCGTTCAACGATAACACAGCAGTTAATAGTAAAAATAATTAGATCGTAATGTCCTTCTAATTAAATGCAAAGTTCAAGTAATATTTTTAATAGAAGTTATATATAGTTTTGGTTTCTCAATTTTATACAGTTTGCATATTAAAAGAATTAATACTGTTGGTAACTTACTATCTTTATTAATTTTATTTTGTAGTACATAATAAACCATAAACTGTATAATTTGTAATTAGTATTTGGACTTTTTTTGGGTATTTAAAGGAGTACATGCCTATTATTAAAATGTAGTCTTTCAAGATTTTTTTGTACCGAACCATGGACATAGCCGAGGAGAAGCAAATGGGCCATTTTTTCTCTTAATCTACTTTTAGTTCAGAGATAATAAAAGTATTAAATAATGTAGAAACATAAAATGGAAATGACTTTTTGTCAATATGGTTTTATTTTTTTGCTTAAAATTCGTTCTGAACATTTGGCTTGACGACTTGTTTTGATCTAGCACTTCTTCCCCAAAATACGTCCATATATATGCCCATAAGATATTCATTCCAGTACGGATTCAAATCGGGGTTCTTCTTCCTCTTCAAGTTCAGGTGGAATGTCTCCTGGAGCGTTCCAATCCTGTACAGATCCGCTTCCTATACCCATGAAAACTGTAGCAGTTATTAGTAAAACTGTTGATGATATACCGAAAAGAAGACGCCACCAGCCTGCGATCTGAAATGCACATTTTATTGTAGTATTGTCCTTGAACGTATAGAAGTAAATTCAAAAGTCGCGAACAAACCTTCAAAAAGTCTCAAGGGAAATTGGAAAAGGAGGATTTTATTAATTCCTATTTGAACTTCTAGTAGCAATTACAATGATTTATGGTACGAAAGTTGGAGACGAACAGAAAGGATTCAAAGCAAGTATATTAGATGGACCCTGAACCTAAATCAAAACTAATCAAACTATGATCAAGCTTATCAAAATAGCTACCAACACAGCAAAAAGAACTTAAGAAGAAGAAAGAAAGAATACCTTGAAAGAATGCCTTAGAGTGGAAAGTAAACCATAGATGAGAAGTAGTAAAAAAGACATCAGAAAATAACAATGGAAGAAGAGCATAAAAGATTACCTAGAGGATAAAGGATGATCCTTAAAATCTAATAATGAAGTTTTTATTTTTTGGAATAAAAAAGCATGCTCATAGTTATTCTTCAAACCGATAATTAAACAAATGCATGCAATAATTCTTTAGAACTTACTGATCCATGGAGACCCTCGGAAACTGCGTAGTTGGCTGCTAACAAACCAGCAGCACCAATTGTTTGGCATAAGCCAAACACAGTTCCTAGAAGTAATTTCAATTCGTATAAAATATTACCACTAGCAGTTTATTAAATATAAAGAAAATGATGGGTTCTGTGGTGTCCAGTTTCTGGACTTCATAGCCGCGAACTAGACTTTAGAATTCTAGATCTCTGCACCATGTTGTCTGTTATCGAAGTTTCGATTTCTATCACAAGGGATATCTTCATTATGAATTTAAATTGAAAGAGCCTTGAAGACGTCCTGTGTGATCTAGGATGGAACGAAATACTCCTACATAATATAACGTAATGCAAATCTAATAAAATCCATCAGTGTTATGGTCAAGGATATTCGTCGGCGATTCAAGCGGAAACATCACCTTAATTTCAATTTTTTCTTTGTTCTAAATAAAAGTAAATGAAACATTGAAGATTTTGTCCGTTAAAGGAAAAAAGTCACTCTAATGGCATTTGCTCTTGCAATATTAAAGTTATTATTAAAAGTTGAAAAAATCATGTCTTTTAATGATAAATAGTAAATTTAAATCAAAACCAATGTGATGTTTGTATTCAGCATGCTCAAATTATTCAGAATCGAGTCTCATGGTTAAAATGGAACAAAAAGTTTGTTCAAGTTTAGCACCCTTCTGACTCTAGGAAATCGGAAACCGTCCCATTAAAACACATCTCAGGAACATCCCCTCTGTTTATTTCTGGGGAAGGGTAAAACTGCATTAATATAATTGTCCGTTCTTGCTGACTAAGAGGTTATTGTTCCGTGTCTTATCACGGAGATCACTAAGCCGTAATTTCAGTTTAAGAGACCGACATCCTTAATAAAGAAGGGGGGGTTTATTGTTCTGACTAAATATGGATAAACATTCGCATTTAAGCATAAACCACTAAAGCAAGAACTACATCAACGAGAATGGAAAGAAATACCTGCAAAGTTTGGGGCAATGTCGGCTGCACTGGCATAAGCACCGGCAGGTGTGGCACCAGTTAATGCCAAGGCAGCTGTATATAGTGCTGCAGGGGCTGCAGGATCACACCCTGTATATCCAAGTACGAACATGCACGCCGCTGGTAAAAAATGTGCTGGAAGAAATGCTTTGGTCGTTCATAATGACTAACTAATCTATGTATTGTTATTTTAAATTCATGAGACATGTCGCATTCTATTAACTTTGTCTCAGTAAATTTGTGGGTTTTATTTTTTCATATTCTACTTACAAATATAAACAAATAACTTTCTGCAAGAAGTTGTGGAGAGTAATCCTGATTCTCTGACGTGATCAACCACTATTCCGAAGGTGAGTGCGGCAAAGAAATGACCGATATGGGGTAACGATGCCAAAACGTCATCCTACGAGTTAAATATTGGATCAAAAAAGTGATTGCATCAAGTTTGAGAAAATTCGTACAAGCTCAATCGAAAATCCATAAACCAGCTTTAGATATTTCGTTACTCCCAACATTAAAGTAGCGTCCGCCCATTGGCTTCCTACAACGGCTATACCACAAGCCCATGCTGGTTTCGACATTAAAAGTCTTCTCCATGGAAGAGTTTTGTGTTCCTGGAGTAGTGTATTTATATGTATACAAATATTTAAAATTGAAACTATTAATTGGTTGGTTAGTAATTTATCGAAAATACCAGACGTGGATTGTAAGATTTCTATTTTAATAAATCTCAAGAGAACGCTGTAGATAATTAATAGTAGAGCAGCAGTAGTAAATATTAAGGACTCATGTCAAATATATGAAATATTTCAGCTAGCAGCAGATATCGGTATCATTTCGCAGGTACTATTTTGGGAGGGTTGTCTTCTATGAAATCAAAGCTTTCGACCTCTACAGCGGCGATATCATTTAAACCCGTAAATAAGTATCATGCCACATAATTGTTACAACAACTATTCTACAGTGACATACTGATCTACTGCAAATAATGTTGCTGTATTGCTGAGTTTGTTTACATTAGATCTAAACATCGATTGAGTTTGATGAAAAATACAAAACAAATGCAACACTGATGGTGCTAATTACCAACTGATTGAATGCTACGTTGCGTTGTCCAGGGCCGGAATTGAATTTACTTGTACTTTTAACTATGTTTTTTTTGAAAATTGTGGAGTTCCGGACATATCCTTAATTTTCTTGTTTTATAGTGGCCCTATCATATCCTGCAAGTTCTGTACTTATTTCGGTTACACCCTGCATAAACTTTAGTTAATGTTAGTATTTATATTGAGGGTTGTAACTTGTCGCCCAACAAAAATTCGAAAAGAAAGAAAATAAAAATCAGTATAGAAAGGCATACGTCTCGAATTGGTCTGTTGGGGTGTAGAGATTCTTCGACAAATCGCCACCATAGGAAATACCATATCGCTGCTATCATTGCTATGAAATAACTTAAACAATCTCGGCCAAGGTATTTCACAAGAGGTGTTCCAACAATTCCAACAACTGCGTATCCCAAATTGACAGCTAAATGCAGAAAAAATTCACATTGGGTCGTTAGAATCCTACAGGTATATTGTTACCTATATAAAATGTCTGTTACCTGTATAAGTCGACACGAAGGCACTTATTCGTTTTGGTTTGAACCATGTAACTGCTAAAACATGTGCTCCTGGCCATGCTGCACCCTTGGAAAGACAAAACATTTTTCAAATCTCCCTAACAAAACGTTTTTTATGTCTTTCAAAAAACTAACTTAAGGTGCTGTTCATAACTGTAATGTTTCTGAAGAAGGAGTCCGTTAAGCTGCTCAGAAACATATGCAAGGGAAGAGCTTGATACATGAGCAGCGTGGTTTTTTTATTGTTAAAAAAATATATATATTTGACGTATCGAAGAGAAAGATGTACAAAAGGATCAATGTCCAATTTCTGTGTGCAATAGTCAGACTGAAGATGACGTATTTCTTATTTCCTGTAGATAATATTTTTTTTGGAATCCTAGAGATTTATTGTTTTAGATGGTTTTGATTAAAGAGATAAAATCAAAATAAAATCACTATTCCTCAAGAAGAGTAAAAGGACCACGCTGTTCTATTAGGAACGCAGAAGAGAGGATAAAACGACAGCATCGTGGATATTATCCCAGACTTGCTTTAAAAGCAGAAGATTATTATGAAGTGCAGTGTAGAATAAAGAGGAAGTGTTTCACTACTACTCATCTTCCATAAATTTCATTTGAACATCACCTCTTATAACCCTTAAGAAATTGTACCTCCTTTTTGATCATACTTTGTATCAGGATTTCATAAAACGGAGTAGACATATCAAGCTAAAACTTACCATAAACATTCCCTGGGCAATCCGCACCGCCACGTGATACGGAGTGAGCCAGGCAGCAGGAACCATAACGGCCAAAGCCCCCGCGCCCAACACACCCACCCCGTAGAGTCTTTCGGCACCCACGCGTGCTGCTATCCTACTTGCAGCCAGCGGTGACGCCAGAGTACCCCACATGAATGCTTCCCGCAAAACCGACTCGGTTTCGTCAGTTCTCGTCATCGGAATCTGAGTGTGTAAACAGAATCCGCAATAATTATATACAGTCAAGCACTAATTGTACCATATATTAATTGAAATCTACAGAACTTGTTTTTCATTAATTAAAATAAACGAATGTACAGGGTGACCTAAAAATGAATTAATTTAAAATATCTCAATTTTATTAGACGGGTTGGAGAAAAAGGTTTAATACAAAACTTGTAGGACCAAGAACCAAAATTACTTCCGGATATGTAGCACGATGGATAAATTAACCACGATATAAATGTATCGTTCTCAAAATAGGCCCCAGATATTAAAAATCTAATCAAAAACGAAGTCAAATTTTGCAGATGTGTTTCGTAGGGTTAGTTATTTATAATTTTTTAGCCAAAACAGACTGTTTTCACATTCCTTTAGTCTTTACCAAGATTTTCATCAGAATTTGTGCGGAAACGTTCGTACCAATTTTCACATTGTAAAGGTTACGATTGGTGCAACTTTTTTTTGTTAAGTTTAAGAAAACTTCGCTGGTAATTTAATCGTTGCTATTTCAATTTGTTTTCTTTAATGATAGCACTGGCCCTAATACTTACTTCGATGTGGGGTATGGACCGCACCACATGAATTTTAGTAATGTTTCGTTCATCTGGGTCCTGACAGTAGCGAGTAATATAGCTCGTATTTTCAACATACTCTGCAAATTCTTCGGCAGTAATTCTAGACGTTATGTTGGCTCTCAGGGCTACGGATGCAGATTGCTCCACGATTCCGCAAAGAACAAACCCAGTTATTACGAAAACTACGAGGACCTGTTGTGATCCTATTTGTTCTAAAATGTATAATCAGTTTTGGATTTTTTTAAAAATAAAATTGTATTATGGATACTATGGCGTGGAAAGATGGAGCTAGTAGAAGGTATCCAATATAAAATATTTGAAATGGATACTAACAGAACAGTAACAATAAGGGAAACTGAGTATGGGAAGAGGACTTCAAAGACAACAAGAACAGTGATAAAATATGAGAAGAAACTAAAAGGATTGGAGAATGAGGATACCTGTATGAGTATAAATATGGAGAAAAACAATATTATAAATTTATATGACAGGAAAAAATCATTTAGCGTCAGATAATGGTGTACAAATTCCAAAAAGCAAGAAATGAGAAAAAAGTAGGAAATATGCGAAAAGAAAGATACAATAAGTGGAGAAAAATTAAAAAATATTTGGAAATAAGGGTGTGTAGGGTGATTGATGTGAATTGTATGGAAAGAAGGAGGAAGAATCATTGAAACATAGGTGTATTTGAAAGATGCAGGGAGAATAATTAAAAGGATGAGTCCAAGGGGACCTTAAGTAATGGTGGTTATAGTCTAGCTACATTGAAAAGGATATTAAATAAAACAAAAAGGAAAAGTGGAAGGTAATATCCAAAAACGATTTGACATTGTAATATTGGTTTGTCATGCTAATTGTTCTTGTTGCTTTTGCTATTTTCTTTCTTTTAAAACGAGTGAGAATTATACTCATGTGAAGAAAAGAAACATGCTAAGAGTACTCCAGGAGGGTTTTTTCGAATGGTACCTTTTTCGATAAATATAATGAGCACCATTTTGGAAGTTTAATTTTTAAGCCAGAATTACAGTTGGAATGGATACAATTAATAAAATGTTAGTAACACTGCTCTAATTTCCTTTACTCATTTTTTGGGCTATTAATAATCTGGTTTAACGTGCAGTATAAATAAAACTACTTACCGTTAACAATCTTTGTTGCAGCTTTCTGAATTTGTATACTTCCTCTTTTTAATGTGGCCAAACCAGGAGTCATTTTGGACTTGACTAAAATAGTTCACTTTCCGTTTCTATCGTAGGTACGTAGGTTCTTATTTCGGCCAAGTTAACAGTAAACTGCTTATTCTAAGACTTTATTGTCATGATAATTTAATTGGACAATTTAACTTGTTATACACTACGCACCAAAGTAATCGTTGCCGACTTCAACAAATTAGTTATGTTTTAAACTTTATCGAACGCTTCCTTTAATGTTCTAACTGTCATTATTTAATTTCTGACGAAAATTCAAAATTTATATTGGGTACTTTTATCTGTTACCGAAAATTCTTTCTTTTACTACGGTGCCTAATTTATATTTTATTTTTCCAATCGGAAGGCTTTTACCATGAGTATACAAAATGAGAGTAATAGTAAAGTGGTTAGTAATTCACCGAAATTATCCGGGGTGGATTGCGATTTCGAACTTATTAGTTTCCATAAATTACCTTCCAAACCGAAGGTTCCTCGCAAATGCAAGTCGACATAATATCAACTGGTTACTGGTAGTACAGGGTCATTTACTGAAATTTTAATGGAATATCTTTGGCATACTCAGTGCTTATTCCAAACCGCCTTTGGCGTGATGATAAGAACTAATACGTTCGAAATTGCGATTCAGGTCATGGAGTTCCGATAAATTTCTGATCAAAGAATTAATTTAGTTGACGTTCCTTCCTTTCCACCTAAATTGAGTGGTAGTTTCAATTTGATAAGTGGATACCTTCAAAAGGCCGTCATCAAACATTTGATAAGCTGAAGTTAGCAGGAGTTGTGAGTAAATGACGGTATATCCTACAACTTGAAAATATTATTGCAGGTTGAAATACATTGGTATTGTTGATAACGAGGAAATTATAGATGGAGCTTAGACCCTTAAACCACCGAAGTTGATCTTACTCAACACTATATATTTGAAAAACCTAAGGGAAGGTTTAATAACTAAGAATCTTCAATGTCCTTCTTAGAACAAGGTTAGGCCCCCAGTCTACCCAAAAATCGATATACTTTTGGAATACATTTTGTAAAACGTATTTTGGTTTTGTTTGGGACCTTAAACAGGACGTCTCCAAGGTTTGTGTCCCCTAGTACAAGAGGCCCAGGGCGGGCTGACCCATTCGCCCACCTTTAATTAAACATTGTAGAAGGCCGTCGTCGGTTGAAATTGCTTCCTAATATATGGTTATCACGAGGGGCGAGCTTCTTCAGAGGTCCTTCATCAATGCTGGATGTGAATTGGCGACTTCTTCAAAAGCGTATTCTGCGGACAGAAGCCGATGCTGTATGGATTACCCAAGATCCACAAAGCTAATATTCCTCTGAGATCGATACTAAGCGCTCCCGGATCACCATACTAAATCGCGAAACACTTGACCTCGCTTCATCAGCCTCCTGTTAGAAAGAGTACCATTTACATTAAGAACTTTGCTGACGTCGAACGCAAAATCCCAGAGATCAACATTAAACCAGGAGACATCCTTACGAGCTTCGACGCCATCTCGTTATTCACCAAAATACTGCTGACAGGGTATCTTAACCTGGAGAGTAGGATCTTCCCTGTAGACATGTGCAAGATCTTCGAAGTTAGCCTCGTATGGAAGGTGGATTACTACGAGCAGGTAGATGGGGTGACAATGGAAAGCTCACTAAGACCGGTCATAGCCAAACTCTTCATGGAGCATTTTGATAAGAACGCTATCGGAATCTCGTGGTACAAGCAAACTGCTTGGTTACTATACGTGAATGACACCTTTGCAAATTGGGGACACGGAATGGAAAACCTAAACTACTTCCTCCAACACCTGAATAGGCATCACCCTAGTATCCAGTTAACCATGGAGACTGAAAATGGCTAACATTTAGTATTCCTGGAACCTATTTCGTATGCAAGGGGGATTCCTACGAGCAGGTGGATGGGGTGGCAATGGGAAGCTCACCAAGTCCGGTCATAGCCTAACACTTCATGAAGCACTTTGAAAAGAAAGCTATCAGAACATCGTGGCACAAGCAAACTGCTTGGTTACTATACGTGAATGACACCTTTGCAAATTGGGGACACGGAATGGAAAAGCTAAACTACTTACTCCAACACCTGAATAGGCAACACCCTAGTATCCAGTTCACCATGGAGACTGAAAATGGCTAACATTTAGTATTCCTGGAACATATTTCGTATGGAAGGGGGATTTCTACGAGCAGGTGGATGGGGTGACAATGGAAAGCTAACCAAGTCCGGTCATAGCTAAACATTTCATGGAGCACTTTGAACAGAAAGCTATCAGAACCTCGTGGTACAAGCCAACTGCTTGGTTACGATTACCTGAATAGACAACACCCCAGTATCCAGTTCACCATGGAGACTAAGAGTGACTAACAGTTAGCATTCCTGGTCGTACTAGTGAGGAAACGAGGCAATAAATTGGGCCACATAGTTTACAAGACACCTACACACACGGACATGTTCCTGCATGCTATATCCAACCACCACAGAAGGATCTGCGAACTGAAAAATCTCCAGACGGAACCCAAACAATTATAGACCGCTTTCGAGCCAAATGATTACAAATGAAGGTGATCGAGAGATCAATGAATTGGAACAGATTAAAGGCATCAGAGATCAACGAACAGCGCACTATCCTTCTAGTATAACTACCGTGTCCGGAACAGACACGACTTCGAAACCATCTTCAAACCTTCTGAGAAGATCTAGCAGACCAGCAGATCTGCTAAGTGCAAAAGGGACTCGTTTCAGCCCCTGGGGTCTATCGTATACCATGTTCCTGTGGAAAGATCTACATGAAGACCACTAAGAGATCAATGGAAACAAGACCCCAGGAGCACAATGCAAGCTGCCGGCTTGGACACAAAAACTCTTTGAGAACTACAAATTGCTAGCTTTAGTCAATAGCCATCACAGCAGGATATTCAGAGAGGACATCAAGATCAAAAAACATATGCAGAATTTCAAAGAAGGAGGAGATCCTCAGACTTAACCAAATCTGGAACTCGAACGCGAACGTTAATGACCTCACAGGTAAAAGCTTTATATAATAGGAATGCGAATTATGTTTTAAAAGTAAAAATGTTTAAAGCATAAAGGTTAATGAAACATGATGAGGGTTTAGAGCTTTGAAGGTAGATTTGGGGAAACTTTAATCATGAGAAAATGGACAATTTAATTAAAATTCACTAAACCTTTGAAAAGAACGTAAAATTTTGTGGTAATTGTCCAATTATTCTCCTTATGGTGTTATTAATGTTATATATACCGTTTTTACGAAAATTCTGATAAAATTGATGCATTTAAGAGATGATTTCTCATACATATGTAGGTACCTACATTAGTATTCAATATATTACTGATGTTAGCTTTTTTATTTTTTATTTTAATTGTTCAAAATACGATAAAGTTTTAAAGAATAATACATTTATAATATAAATTTTAATAATACAGTAGTAATTGTTTCTTTATTATTATTGTTCCTTTTGTGGAGTTAAAACTGCATTTGAATTTTACCTCGCGCATGTGCTAACGGTACTTTTCATCTAGTGGCCCAGTAAGAAATAAGAAATTCAAACGGGTTGTGTCGTGTCGGATGTGTCTTTGTTTATAGCAATTCTTTTCGTTATTATTGTATGTAATTTGTCGGTTTAAGTACATTCTATTTTTTGACTATATTGATGTAGTATTTATTAATCGCGATCGTGTTTCTGTTATCTGTTTAACATTTATAAATTTGTGGACTTTTAAATCCGTCTTTTGTGCTGTTGCTGCCTACATAACCTCAACTTTACAGGTAGTTGTTTGCTCATTTAAATTTTTATTTTTGATATGTTGTTAGATGAAATGAGAAACAGTGGTAGTTACTGTATTTATGTATTTCATAAGTATATATTGTATAAGTCGGTTACATTTGTGTTAAATTTGTTAATGGTTATTACATTAATTAATGTATCTAATTAGCCATGGTAGTTGAATTAATTTGCATAGCAGACATCCTGATCTTCCCACTCTTCAGCCAATTGATCTATGAATTTTGGTCTTGCGAACTTGTTCTTCCTATATTCGTTTTCTAAATATTCTCTAAATTGATTACTAAAATATTCATCTATTGCTGCCCACAGTTTTATACTGTACCACAGCATTACAAATAAGAACACCACACACCTAAAAATAATTTGAAACATTTTCAAAATAGGTTTACACTTTATTGTTGATAAAGTCTCATGTAAAATTTACACTTATTATTTATCTGGGAATTCTAGTGTAATAGGTTCTTCTGTGTAACCATAAAACGTGTTAAAAGCATGTCTTATATGGGGCCAAGCCATGGTCAGAAACACTATAAAAGAGTTACAAATAACAAACACTTTCATTAATTCAACTCCTTGTCCTGTACGAAGCCAATTAGTAAATGTTTGTTCATCGTCTGAGTCTACACCATGCTTGTTATCTTCTTTATTCGTTTCATCAGTTTCTCTTTTCCTTCTACTTTTGCATTTAGTGGTTAATTGGTTTTTCATTATACTTGTTTTCCAACAGAAATTTGCACATCACTTAGAGAATAGGAGGCAAATATGATTTCACTCTTCTGAAAAGATATAACAAGTAGATAAATTAAATGTAAATCTAACGAATATTAACAGAATTGAGTTACAAGTTAATTGCATATTTGTTAATGTATTTGTTTCAGAAAATATTGAGTTCAGAAAAGTTTAATTCCAACAGAAAACAAAAAAATTACACATATTTGCAGGGGTATATTTTTTTTATATTATTTTCCCATATTTATTCTGTATTTGTTAATAGTTATAGTGGGAAATAATTGAAATAGGTTTGGTGGTAACTTGTTATTTAATAATTATATAATTTAGGAAAAACTTTTAAATTTTAAATTCTTATGCCTTTGAACCTGTTGAGTCACCTGTTACAGATGCAGTGATTTAATGTATCTACTGCTCATTCTGCCGCTGCATTTCAGATGGCGCAGGGAGTATGATTTTAAGAAATTAAGTATTTAAATCGGGGAAGTTTGCGCAGTATGTAAGGTGTTTTCCCCCTAAAGCGCGTTCTAGAACTTTGTATGAATAAGAGTACTTAGGTAGTATAGGATTTTTATTGGTTTTTAATTTATCAATATTTCTTGTGGTGACATAAATTGTAATATAAATGGTTTAGAAGTATTTAAAATACTGAAATAAATGCTCCTTAAATACGTTATATAATGGAGTTCCGCATAATATTATGGAAAGCATGTTTATGAATAAACATAAAAGATCAAATGGATACTAATAATTCTCTCCTGTTGAATCTCATTTCAAATTCTAATGTTACCCCTACTTTAAATATTGACAATTATATGGAATCTATCTGCTGAAAAATAAAATCAGTAACAGATCTGACGGTCGATCGGGATCGACGGTAGAAGGTTGGGAACAAGCCTTTTACTAGGTCACAAATAAATGTACATCAGCCCGTAAAGGATAAATGTTCGATGATTGAATAATGTCGATGTGCTGCATCTATAATAATGCTGCGATCTGACACTTAATCTCGTTTAGGTTTCGTTACGTGAAATTGTACGTCGTTAGTTTAATAATTTGAAATTCCTGGACAAAGACATTTGATTGTCAATATGGCGTACGCTTTACACATTATCGACCCATTTTTCGCCATAAATGAATCCCAAAATAATAGAGCCAACGATTTACAGACTTTAAGCACCGACGCACGAGAAATGTTAAAGAAATACTGACTTGACGATTAATCCAGTAAATAAGTGAAATTTACGCGAAAAGCGATTTATTAATGAATAATTATGGTCCGGGTCATTATTCATTATTTATTAAGTATAAAATTAAATTGACTTGTAAAAAATAATTATTCGGTATTGGGTTTGACTCAAAGAACAGTTTATGAGTTCTTGGACTGAGACTGGTCTCGAGGTGCTTTTGGGTAAGTAATCATGACGACTCTTTTTTCTGAAAATTTTCCACAATTTCTTTGAAAAAGTGTATTACGTTTATTGCCTGGCATATATGATAGATGCTTTTTAAAATTGATCAATTTTAATTTCTATTGAGTAATATTAATTAAAAAAATTCAATTTATAATTATTCGTTTTTATTAATGTAATAAAAACGTAAAAATTATTTTGTGCTGCACTTAACTTACAGCCTTTTGTCAGTATTTCTCGGGCTTCGAAGGTCCTTAGAATTATTTATAATTCCTATAATTTTCATTTCCCAAGGAGTCTCTAATTGTCGTTCTTTCAATTATACATAATTATAGAAGTTTCTTGTCAGTTCTGACGTCGCCTAATTAAACTTCTGTTGCAAAAGGTTCAAAACCCGAACAGTAATAGTTCGAGGAAGCAAAACGAAAAGATCGAGTTTTGACATATTTCCTTTGTATGTATTTTGGGGTTCTATACTAAAAGTGCATAACTAAAAAAATGAAGTAGTAGCGATCCGTGTCCTCTTCTCCAGCGGGCAGTGATGGTTTTCTAATGATACCTAGTAGTTAAACGATAATTAGGAGCTACAAATTGCTAAAGGATTTCGCGGCCAGTTGGTGAACTGAAGCTGGAGTTGCTTCCTAACGTTTCGCTATCACGAGTGACGACCTTCTTCAGAGGTCCTTTTATCTCCGATGCTGGACGTGGACCGGCGGCTTCTCCTGTTCAAGTTGTATTTTTGCCGACGGGTAGGGTGTGGAGCTTATTCCGATTCAGAAAACCGTAGGATAAAACACCTGAAGCTAAGTCCGAATTACTTCTATCAAATTTCGAAAATTTCGATTCAAGAAAAGAAAACTTCAGAAATTACAAGCAAAGATTTGAAAATTATATTTCAC